TATTTTGGAAAAAAACAAACAGTAAATGTTACTCATAGAAACGAATTTTCTTCTGATGCTGCTGTAAGGCTCACCAAGGTGTAAAACAATACAGTTGTTTTTGGTTTATTAGGCAACAAAATTAATGAAACAGATCCTACCAATCACAATCACATCCAGAACTCGCCATTAGGTAAATAAACGTTCTAGTTTTGTACATTCAGATTATTTTCCAAGAGCGATATTTTTACTACAGACCTCAGTGGGATGAACACTGGACATGGTGGCCCCGATAGTCACGAAGACCTGTTGTTCAGTGATGGAAACTTGCAACTTAAGCCCCACGGGACTTGAAGTGATGAAGCACTAGGTTAGATGTGGTATTGAACCGAACCGCAGAAAAAGTGCCTACCATCAACTTGAGGTAAAGTAAAATTGTTATGTTCCCATAGCATTCATCATTCAACCTCGGCCTACTTTCTGATGGACTTGGTCTGTTCACACTGTAAACATGGGACTGTACAATTTATCAGCAATTGGTTCATTATGATTTTACACGTGTATTGTTCAGTGAAGGGCATTTTCTGTATACCCCGATGAAATAAAAAAGCGGTTGCGATCTCAACTACATAACGACAAAGGATGGAAGACATAAAATGTTGCTTAACACAGAAGAGCTGGGGGTTGCATATATATATATATTTATATATACAGGCAAATCAGATGACACACTTCGCAAGAAGAATTCATTTCGTAAACTCTTATCGGTCGTATATGTAAAAGAATAAACAAAACAGGGAAATGAAGTGAATTAGAAATCTGTTTCGGTTTCATCGTATGTGTTTATGCGTGGGTTTGTGTACGGGTGTGTTACACATGGTCGGGTACAGTCAGGGAAGACCGAAGGTAAAGGTCATACGCTTTTGGACACAAAGCGAGTTTGTTGTGAGCAATCGATAATGTCTCGGGTGTTATTAATCAGTGTTTGTCACGATGATGTGTCCGCAAGGTCTGCCCTGTGACCGCTTTCAGCCAAGTGGCGTGTGATGGCCGAGGTCGGTCTATGTGACGCAGTCAGAATCTGCGGTGTTATAGGCTGAGTCATTGATTGAAGCACGTACTTAATGATGTTTTCGCAGTGATCGGTCGGTGCTACCAATGTATGCTTCCTTACAGCTTCAACAGACGGCATAAATAAAATGGTAGCTGGACTCGAATGAGTGGCTATCTTTGAATTAGGCCGTGGAAAGACGTTGTGTGATCGGATGAAGACGTAATGCAGTAAGATAGTAGGTTCTTCGTAAACGTTTTTGGTACATTGTGTGATAAGCTGCATTTCTAGCCAGGTTGGAGTGTTTCCATCCACTGGAGCCTAGTGCTGAGACACGCAAGGTGGGACGCCTGCAATAATCTCGCAAAGATGGGCTGTGCTAAATGGTGTATAAGGAAAATCGAAAACGGTCTGATCAGCTACCCG